TAGTCGCACGTCCTTCCTCTCTTCGCAGTGCGTAAAACGTTGATAACCAACGTTTAATGCCTCTCTCGTCTTCTTCATTTTGCGTATAAATACACGTAGAATGGAATATTCAAGCAACAGCTTATTCGCGCTTCCCGGGAAAGCCTGCACTTTCGTATTGCATTTTGTTATCGGCGTAGCGTGAATGATTTTCCAGATGTGGGAGCAGCTGGGAAATTAACAGCATTAACGTCTGCGTAGAAATTCTGTTTTACGAATGACGAACATTTTCTACGAGCTACCCTTGTGACTTCACTCCGTAATTTCCACTGCAGCCAACACGTATGATCAAACCATTGTTTAACGTCTTCAGGCGGAACGACACGCATGCTCGTTTGCTTTGTTCGGAAAAATGTATTCTTCGTTTCTGTTCCCGTAATACGGAAGTCGATGAAGTTGTAAAACGCCAAGAATTATTTATAGAATCTTCTTCGATAAAAGGAACGATTCCCAGTTTGAAAATTCTTCGGAAATTAAGCATCGATTTCCTCGAGATCAATGGAGCAGAGCTTGTTCATCGGCGAACATAACGTTTGCGGCAGGTAGACTTCCGGTTGTTAGCGGGATCACGTTGCGGAGGATGCAGACGCGAGTCGCGTGCAATATGACAGTTATAATGCGGAAAGCAAGCCAATGGAAAGGTTTTTTGCAAGTCTAACGGAATTGGCGCGGTTGTGTAGCCACCGTCTAGTCATTTTTCACCATGTAAAAATACTCCACTGGCACGGAGAAGTTAGCCTGAAATCTCAGATTTACCAGATAGACTCCTCTCGGAGATTCGCGGAAAAAATTCACGAATACTGAGCAGCGACGCGCGACATGCAAATTGCTCGCCTACTGGGCGCTTCCTCTTCTAATTCCCTACAGATATTCAAAAAGGCCGCCATTTCGTAACACCGGAGACCGCTACGAGACGGTTCGCCGATTATGTAGATTCGCGGCTTGCTGAATTTTGGCTCGTTAACCTGTTTCCTTCGCAACTTGGACTGCAACTGCCGTTGCGTAGTCGAAAGGTAACCATTTCTAATCTGAAATTAATAGCACGCCGGGTCGATCGAACTACATAGGTTTTACGAGCAGATGGAATTCTTCGAAAACGACGCGACGGAGCGAATTAAATCGCGGTGACAGGAAGTTGTGCGGCCGACGACGATCGGTTACGTTGTCGATATCGTTATGCCGCTCGTGTTCATCGCGGTGCATTAAAATCTCACGCACGGAAGCCGCAGAGCTGTTGCATAACTCCGCGTCTCCCCGCTTCGATCACTAGATAAGAAAAAAGAAAAAAAAAGAAAAGAAAATGGTATTCCTCCGTTCATCTTTTTCTGCAACTTGCAAATTTTGTCAGACACATTTTGTCTTCCACGTGATTACAACACACACGTTTCATCCACCGCGCCATAATATCAATTATGTAACAGGCTCGTTAAGAATGCAGCATAATATTTGCACGCAGAAGAATTGCTCGAGAGGTTAAGGAGCGAACGCGGGTAAATGAAATTTGCACAAGGCGTATTCATCCCATGGAGAGGAAGACAAAAAGAGAAAAGAAATGACTCCGTGGTACCGGAAACCGTGCGGTTCGCGTGTCGTTTGCAAATTGCCGCCGGTGTACACGCCTTTGTTTCACCCCGCGGGACCTCTCGATGACTCACGACGAAAGAGGAAACGGCGATTCGTTGGCCGCGAGACAGGGGATAGAGAGAAAGGGAAATCGAAGGGAGTGTGTACACGTGGACGAGTAGTTTTTCTGCTCGCTCATCCTGAGAGATTCACCTGAGGATGGACGGCAGGCTCGCGCGAGCGCGCAGGAAAGCGGATTCTAAGGTCAAGTACCTTCCACTTCCGGCATGGACACCGACACATCGTGCACACCGACAACAGCCAGCACGTGTCTTCGATTCAACGTTAGAATCGTCTCTACTCCTCTCTCTCTCTCTCTCTTTCTCTTTCACTCTGAGAAGAGTGATTCCTAACCATGTTTCTTCCCTATTTGCCTCACAATTACGCTGCCACGCTCGCTGGAGGGGTTTCTATGAGATTTTTCCGGTGGTACGAGTCGATAACTATGGTTAATAAGCGGAGGAAGACTTTAATACAAGCACACGCAACACCATGTGATTCAATCTTTGTAATGACGAATCTCTTTGAAATAAAGCACCGTTGAACACGAGTACGTTTTGTCGCTCTCTCTCTCTCTCTCTCTTTTTCTTGCTATTAAAAGCAGCATAGTAGAGAGGTGGTTTTCTCGGAATGGCGCTCCAATCGTGAGCTAGCAATTTAACAGGAACGTCTTCCTACTCTGCTTCGCCGAGAATTTCTGTTCCTGGAAGGAATCGAAGCTCCTGGTGGCGTGCAGAATCCTCTCTTCTATTTTTCTACGGTACTTTATCTCTGATCTGCCACGAGGTAGAAGGAGAAGGAGAAGGAGAAGGAGAGGAAGAAGAGCGGCGTTGAAAAACCGAAAATAAATGGTGCGGAAGCGTGAAAGAGATGGCGGCGCTCGGCCAAAGACCCCGTGGTGGATCCTCTCGAGTTTCTCGGTTTTTTCGGTTCCCCCCGTTCGATACTTACTTACATCCTTCGGAGGTACATCGGCAGAGGATTTTCGCGTGCAGCTAATTGGCTTTTCGTTCTCGCGAAGAACGACACCGCGATCGCGCCTGGGAAAGGGTTGTCAACCTTAAACCTCTAATCACCTCTTCCTTAATTATCCTAACCCCTTGTCTCGCTTTAATTAAGCCTTCGTGTCGAGGATGTATCTTGAATTTGATGTCTCATTGATTATCGTTGCGTAGAGTATTACGTAAAAAAAAAGAAGAAAAAGGAAAGAAAAACTGTCACAATTATTTGTCCTCTTAGGTAATAGAGTTCTCTGCGGTTCGCTGTATCGCCAGGTTGCGTAATATATACTTGAGAATACTGTACACGGTAAGTACGGCAGAGTATCGAAGGTAGGAATCTATGGAAAAGAAACGAGAATACGAAGAACGGAGGAGTGTGTAGAAGAGGACTTATGAAAATCTCAAAGTCCCTCGAGCAAATTGATGCCATTAAGGCTAATAGAATTTCATTACATCGTCGATCTCTAATGGGAAAATCGTTCTCCTTATCCGGGATTTACGTTTCCCTCCGATGCAACCTGATCCTTTTATTGCTCGTCGATCGTGCGTTCCTGGTCAGAAGGGGCAAGAAATATTATTAGGAATTAAATTAACCAAGACGTGGCAGGTAAAAGAGAGAGAGAGGGGGGAAGAACGCCGCGACGAGTCAAGTTCACGACTATCTCATCATTGTCTCTCTTCTCTGTAGTTACGATAATGCTAAACCAAACGACGATCATTGTCATTTTGCTCGTTCCTCTACCGGAGGAGACCGGTGATTCTCTTCTGAATAACGAGGCAAATTAATTGCACCAGACTTCTTTTCTCTTTCTTTTAACTGCAGAGACACTCTGATATATGTAATTAACTTTCTGGTATCTCGAAGAATCCGTTAACGTGCCATGGGAAATTTCTTCGACTACCAAGATTTTCAAACGTCGATTACAGTTCGGACTCCTTCTTTTTCTTTTTTCCATCAATGGAACGATAATCGTAAATCTCGTCAGCCTGGTTACGCCGTTGCATTATTTAAGGATGGAATATGCGGTAAAGATAGCTGTTACTTCAGGGTGAATGCACTTATGGGTCTAGTTGATCACGGGTCACGGAATATGGAGGAGTCGTTTGACCGATAAATCTCCTCGAGATTTTCTCGCGGAGGATCGAACGGTACACTTTCCTCCTTTTCACGATAGGTCCCGTAAAAAAGAAGAAGAAGTTCACCAACTATACAATCATGCGGATAGCATTACTTGTAACAATCAGTCTGATCGACTAACAATCGAGGTATTACAAGAGAAAATTCACGGTAACCGAAGGGAGGTTATTAAACTCGAAGTTAGCGGTCGAACATACGTGGTCTGCATCGTTAATAATAAATTACCGTAGCACGCTAGCGGAATGGGGCCTAGTTGAACAGCATTCGATCCTAATCGAACAGAGCGACGTACCATTGGGCATGGCCAATATATGTATATTCCTCAGGAACGAATGTGCGAACTGTTTGCAGTTGACTCGGCTAAGAGCACCGTTACTTCATTCACACCTAACAACGATTTACAGTTAAATCGTAACAGAGAATCTTTATCGAAAATTCATTAAAAAGATGACCTAACACGTTCGCTACTCTCGGAGTAACTGAACGTCTGCGGTAGCGAAGTATACGCCGAAAGTCAGAAATCAACGAAACGTGACTGCTTACAAAGAAGCACTTGACCCCTATACGCCTAAGAAAATCCGCGTTTTACAATGGTAAACGTGCTGCCTTTCAACTCTGAATCGATACCACTGTGTTCCACTTGTGACTAATTTTAAGCAATTTTCGCTTCCTTTCGTTTTTGCGGAAAGACCCGAAAAAATAGACCGAGAACAGTCGTAGATATTCGTGATAAATGTTTCACCGTTCACTTTTGAATTGACAAAGAATTTCTTTTTTTTTTTTTTGGAATGTTCCAGCAACCGCTGCGATAGCGAGCACCGTGCAAATCGAGTGTGCGAGCGAGTCGATAATCGTCCACATCTCGACAGAGGGGAACACCGATTTCCATGGTCTGGTTTATCCAAGGGGGTTGTCCAAGAACAGCTCTTGCCTGCAAGAGTATAGAAGCCAGCCTACCCCCATAACCTACAACCTGCCTCTCAGGTCTTGCAACACGATGCCCACCGAACTGGTAAGTACCGGGGGAAAAAGATTCGTAGAATTATGACGTATTACTCGATTCGATGAGACGAAATTACCCAGTTGAGCTATCTAGGTAGACACGATAATAAGCGTAGATGATAGTTTGCCCGAGCTATTAGCTTCTCACCTGGTTTCTCAATTCCTGAACGTCCGTCAATGGCGATAATTGCACGTTACCACGAGGCAACCTGAATCTCGGCCATCGAGGTTAATCACGGTCGATCGTTGGTTACCTTCGCAATCGTTAAAACAGAAATTTCGAGGATGGTTAAACATCGAAAGGAAGTCGTATATCATTCCTGGTCGATTTTTTTTTCTCGCTAAATCACCGTGTAGTCGTGTAGAGCAATCGTGAACATCCTGAGATCGTACATCGTTGCGTAAGAGCAAACCCCCGTGAAAGAAGCTCTCGATCGCGATATACGTGGACCGTGTTCTGGTTGAAAGAAGAAAAGAAGAAAAGAAGAAAAGAAGAGCTACGGAGGTGTGAATGCACGCGAACGAAGAAGAAGAAGAGGAGGAAGGCGAGTGAGCGAGAGTCAGAAGAAAAAGAAGGGAAGAGGGAAAATACAGTGTGTGGTGTAGCGGAGGAGGGCTGGTTCGTGTAACGAGGGAATCGTGTGTCGAGGCGAGAGATCGCTTCCTCGCCATACCATAACTGGACCGTTATGTGACCGGACTTACGGCCTTCTTCTTACGAGCGTTACAAGAGATATGTAGTATGCCAGCAGCAGCAACAGCAGCCAACCGGCCAACGCTGGCTGCTACGCCTTATGTCAGCGATGTACCGTGCGCATGCAAACGCGTGCTCGTGTCCTTAACGGACCGCTGGTTCCTTCCATTTGCCGATAATGAACCCGACCATCACGATTTCCAGTTGAAATATCGAGTAGATGTGTCTGTTTGCTCCATTCTCCTCTACTTTTCCACCTAACAATCCTACGTTACGCTTTTAACCCTTTGCCTGATATCGTCTTCATCTTCGTTGCGCAGAAGTAAAAGTGAGAATGTACAGATGACGCTGGTGAAGGCTAGTTTTGCCATTTCTGTACTTTTCCAGATACACGTTCGATTAATACGCTCCAGGTGCTCCGTGAAATGTTAGTTGCTCCGAGGAGCGAAAGGTTTTTCGCCGTTCGATGAATAATTTTATCCCTCGGAGATTTCTATCGTTGACCAGGCAACAAACGGGGGGCCAAGAGGCGATCGAGCGTTTCGTAAATCGATCGAGCACCGCTCAATTTCTTTCCATTGTTTGGACACGGTAACACGCCCACGAACACGGAAAAGGTGTAATTACCAGTCTACTTCCACTCTTCTGATACGCATTTTATTCTGCATCGATCGCTAGGATCACCGTGCATCGAGAACTGACCGATAACCATTGCGAGGATCCTCGTGTGAAGCGGCCTGGCATATTGACGACGGCCTGGCTCGGCAAAGATCATAATTACAATCGATCTCTAGCATCTCCGACCGAGAAAACTGTCCGCTGGTACCTGCTGATTAGTTTTGACTTATAACACTGGCGTAATCTTGGAGAAACCGTTCGAGCAGAAGTGCACTTTCCACGCGAAATGTGTTCGATATCCGTGAGAGTTTGGCAAACGATGTCACAATTTCGACAGAGTATCGAGGATTTTCCATCGTTTTACAAGGGAATCTAGCAAAAGGAAACTTTACTCGACGGATGACCTGGTACGTGTTGCTGAGATCGAAGGGAAAAAGGTGGAACTTCCTCGAGTTAATAGCGATACTTGCGCCGGCACGAGGGTCTGCATAATTTAAGGAAAAAAGGGAACAATTTGTCCCGTAAGAAGAACGCGGCACGGACGTCTAACACAAGGCTGAGGAAGGTGAACAGAGTCTTTGACCTCCCCGTTCGTGATTCCTCGCGATCGTTGTGGGCGTTAAAGGGACTGTGGGCAGTCTCTCGACATCCTGGACGATGGTGATCCCGCTTGCAGTGATCGTAAATTAAACGGTTTTATAGGATCTCGGTGCTCTGCCCGATTCTTACCACCGTTGCATCCTTGCTTCTTTCCTTAAACCGTCGACATGTTGCATCTCGTACCATTTTACAGTTGCAATTAAAGCCTGAACTTTAGAGTTTCCAACGTGAAACCGTCGTATCTTTCCTTTCCCTTCTTATTCTACACGATCGATCGATCAATTTCTACACCTCAGTTTTTCGATTTATGCAAAATTATAACAGTGATTTCGTTGTTTCTCGCGAGTGGAGACCTTGGTAGTAGAGCGTTCAAGTGTCTGCAAGGTAACGGGACGTCGCATTAAAATGGCACCGAACGAAACGGGGGCCAAATATGGCGAACCTGGGCCAACGTTTTCGTTGCTTACGCAACCATTTCTCGATCATGATTTCCTTCGGTTACATAACGGATTGCTATTTTTTTTTCCCCCTCCACCTCGAATATTCCGCTAAGTGCATCTTCAGAGAGAGCATTTCATATAGAACTACTTTTAAATACTCGTCGAGTGTGTAATTTCGAAGAAGCGACAAGAAAGTTAATTTGCCCAGGCAATTTCGAGTGGAAAACGTTCAAACAGAATGACACCAGTATCTTCCAAGAGACGATGTAACCGTGAACGTTTCGCAAACCGATCCGTGGCCGGCTAAAACCAGCGTCGGATCTTCGCACAGGCATGCAAATAACACCGCGGCCAGCTTGCGTTACTCATTAATGGCATCATATCTCTATTTGCACCGACACCACACGCAGTTTCTGCTTCTAGCTGGAACACGTACATCCTACAGCCTGGTAGAGCGAACAAAATCGTTCTTCTGTTAATCCATGCGAATTGCCTTCTTCCTTTTGTCTTCTCCTGAATAATTTATTCGTGAAGTTGGACATTGGAATTGGAAACTCCTCGGACACGTTACGACTCTAAAAAAATTAACGATCTTCCAGGAGATTTAAATTTCTACGAGATGTTTTGCAAAAGAGCAAATTGCCTCAAGTTTGTTTTCTCTTAAATACTTAATTTATTCGTGAATTTGGAAACACTTTAAACACGTTGTGACTTAAAAAAATTAATGCTCTTCCAGGAGATTTAAATGATTTCTACTAAGTAGAAGATTTAATTTTGCAAAGAAGCAAATTAGCTTCCTTTGGTTTCCTCTTGGATAATTTATTCGCGAAGCTGGACATTGGAATTGGAAACTCTTCGGACATGTTATGATACACGATACACGAATTTGCTTTCGAAACTTCTCTCATGCATAAAACGATCGAATAAAGATACTCCAGAGGGGGATAGAAGAATGCCATCGTAGTTTTGTCCTTTTTATTCGCACGCAAAGGTCATCCTCTTTTGGCCACGTCCAACCCTGCGGAGGTCCTTAAAACGACTGTCGCGAGTGGGACGAGGTTCTTGTGGGCAGGCGAACGTTGCCCACGCTCCGATCGTAAAAGTAAAAGTCCACGATCGATCCTGAACCTCTGTAATTCCACGTATTTACCTCTGTGTTGGCCACTTATCGCCGACATCCGTGAATCTAACGATGCTGGACACGTTTTTAACGAATTCTTTCGCAGTGAAAACTGTTCGATCGAGGGAATTCGCAATTGAGAATTTCACCAGGTGAAATTTCCGAAATTCAGCCAGCTTGCAACATATAAACTATTCACTTTCACGTTTACCTCATCGTCGAGGAATCGATTATCCAACGTTTAAGCTTCGAAACACTGTCCAACGATGATTTACATAAATTTCGTTAGCGTGCAACGTTTAATTTCACTTTTACTCCTCCGCACGATATCATCGAGGTTTCATTTCGTAGACGTTAATGGCCTCATCCATATTCGAGGCTGTGCACAAGAGAGGAGGAATTTAAGTCGGTCGATCGTCTTTCAAAATCGTTTTGCCTTCCCCGTACCGCCGAAATGGTGGTTCGACTTTCGACTGGCTTACGTAAAAACCCTCTCACGTCACTGTTGTATTTTTTACGTTCGACTCTGTTGATCGAACGCGAGACAGCGGGAACTATGGTCGGGGCCACGATACAGCGAGGTCGTAAATTAAACTCCGAAGAATCGGCACTCGAGGGTTCCAACGGTAAACGAATGATTTGGTATTTCAAGTAGAAAATGGAAAATACCTTAATATTAATTGCTATCTGAAATATTAGGTGTAGAAATGAATTCGTGGCCCTTGCGATTAATCAGCTGTAACTTTACCTTGAATCGAATCTTTTTTCCCGCTGTGTTCGAGTTCTCAAGTTGCTTCTATTAGCAAAACAGAACACTATCGGGCTCGATGTCACCCATATAAACAGCATATTAGACACTTCGTCCTTTTTGCATTTTAACTTTAAAGAAGTGCTCTTGAAGCGAAAAGTCTTTGGGATGGGAAATTCTGCCTCGTGCGGCTTATTCCCCAGACTATTATCTCTTTCGTTCACTCCACCACCATCTAACCGATTCAAAATTCAAAACATACCAAGATGTGAATAATAGCATTGCTGATATTACACGTCCGAAACCGCCATCATTTTTTCGAAGGGGAATTCGCCTGAGAAATGGAATAAACGTATAGCAAGTGATGGAGATTATTTTCAAGACTGAACTGTACTTTGTTTTTTTTTTTTTTAAATAAATAAATCCACGAAACAAAGGCCACGAATTAATTTGTACACCTAATATATGTAATTTCTTTCTGTGTCCACATCTACACAACCTTTTCATTCCCAGAGGGAAAGACCCTAATTTGTCCTAGCTGCATGCAGTTTTCGATAAACATTGAATGATCGCAAAAGTTCGTACCCGATTTGAAAATCAAACACAAGCGGTGATAACGCTGAAACAAACATCACCTCTGAAATGAATTTTTGCAGTCGTCTGATATATTAGAATCAGTTTGACTTTCGCTGGATACAAGAATTCTTCGTACGGTCCTGTACTCATCTGTCGATTTTCATGTCCCGGCAGCTAAAACATGTTCACTTTGACGCCTGACCGATTTTACGAC